GTCCCTCAGTGGCCGCATGGACACACATGTCGGGAATGTCACGCTAGAAATGGTTTTAAAGTGAGTGCGGGAAACTCGCAAATTGCAACAGCATGCCAGTAGAAACATGAGTGGCGCCTTCGAAACGAATGATAAGATCAGGCATGCTAAAATTAACAGGATTTGTTTGGCCTTTAAAAACTGCATTAATTCGCCAACCTCTACAGAATTACCCTTTATTCCTTTGGACCCCAGGAACGACGACCTCACATCGGGACCTAAAAGCAATCGGCGTGTGAACTCTTCCGGTCAGAAACCCACTCTGAAGGCAAAGCTTGGCTCAACCATTGCTGCACATCCCTAAAACAACAATGGCCTGGGTATATAGGCTATTATTATGGGTACTTGGGAGGTCAAGGCAGGATCTGCCACTAGTTCTGCCGTTCAAGCTGCCTCGGATGACGTTTTCCGCCATATGCGAAGGAACCTGCTGCGGAGCGACCTGCCACGGATCCGCAAGCACTTGGGGAGTGAGAGTGCAAGACCCGGGACTGCAAGGATTTAATTTCTAGGGAGACTGCGTGAAAGGTTCCGAGATCATCACCTTGAGAACTGCTGTGGGCTGAGACTCCCCTTGATGTCCTGCGAAGGTTTGATAGCGGTCGGGGTTTCATGCATGCGCGTTCCGGTGGCTACCTCATTGTCTCTTTCCTGTGCTTGTTCTTATGGTATTCGCGGCAGTCCAGCATTGATGGTTCCATGTGTTGTTTTTCTGCGTTGTGCACTGGCAACCTGTTGGCTGTCTCTGTCTCACTTGGGATTTGGCGTAGCTTGTCTCACTGCCCATTGCTTGTTGACTTCACTTTGTTTTGGTCTTTGCAATGGATACGTGATACTCTCAATTGTGTGCTGTTTGTCCTGTTTCTTCTGGATTACACTGTCCCCGTTTGATGATCTTGTCCTTCTCCGCCTTGATTTCGTACGGGGCTGGTTCTTACCCCTGTTTAGTGCCATCCTTATTCTCTGCCATGTTGCTTATGGTTTTCGTAGGTGCAGCCACGTTGCTTCTGTTGAACCTTCTCATCCATGAATTGTTGATCACTTGTCTGATAGGGTCTTTCTCGCGCCAAGTAAAACTATGTGTGGCCATGTTGCGGTTTACGTCCATACGATTCATAAATGGGCTCCTTCAAAAGAACATGTCATGGGTTTGAGGACATTGTGCTAAGGGAAGACGTGGCCAAAGCAACACCGAAAGGCTCATCTCAGCAATTCAAGATAAGCGTTCAGATAACCCCTTCGCGGACCTTTCGCGCATCTTTCGCGTGCCGGGAAATCAACACTGGGAACCCGTGATATGAACTCGGCTTCTAAAAACGTCGCAAAGGTTCTCGCAGAACCCTCATGCACTGTTGCACTGTAGATGTAGAAAGACTGATGGTCACCCAGGAAAAATACACAGGCTAGTTCACGCAGTATTAAACCCTAAGACCTCAGCCGTACCTGCAACTCTAACCACTAAAACCAGGCCTTGGGCCGTACCTGCGATTCCATTCATTAGGTTGCTCTCCGCCCTATTGCGACCTAGACCTACATGTGTGCTGGGAAATGGCTATCAAACAAAGAAAGAAAGATGAAAGGAAGCCTCCTGGTTCCACGCGTCCTCGGGCATGTCCAATAGCTTTGCCTGCTCAGCATTCCACTTGGTGTCTGCGATTCTGCGATGCTATTCAAAAGTCAACGCTGCTGCTGCTGCTGCTGCTGCTGCTGCTGCTGCTGCTGCGGCTGCTGCTGCTGCTGCTGCTGCTGCTGCTGCTGCTGCTGCAAACCTGATCTATGCCATACTCCCAAGTGCAGCACTGCAAAGTCTACCCTGAGAAATGTTTAGATGGTTTTCAACGGCACTCAAGTTACCGCGGCTTCGGTACGCACCATAGTTCCAGCAAACTTCAGGGACCGTTGGCCTTCACGTCACAGAGTCAACCCAAAGGCCCTCCGACACTATGCCCCCCAACAACAACACTAGGTATCAACAAAAGCAAACTTTGCGCTGTCCTTCTATGCACAGACAGACCTCTGCCTTGAGAGCCACGGGCTGGGACGAAAGCTCAATAGTGGTCAGGACTGGTGACACAGGACGTGAGGAGACAGACGACATACAACCAGAAGAGCACGTAGCCCACCCCCCAAGACTCCCAGGCTCAGTCCGTGAGGTAATGAACAAAGCTCCCTCCTGGGAGCTTGCGTGATAAGGGAAAGCTGTCAAAGGCGTTGGCAGGCTTGAGACACTCTTGACTTAAGGTCACGGGAGCGGATGCTGGTCCCAGGAATGAAAGCAGGGCAACACAGCTTCAGCTATCTCCTAAGGAATCACTGTACCGAAATGTGTTCCAGACTCGAGCCAACTTCATTATGTCATTGTATGAATAAAATGATGAGCTACGATTCAGACCCTAAATCGCTGATTAACAAAATTAAGGTCTGTTGTCAAGGAGTTAGCTCAACTTGCTTCACTTATAGACTTTGTCTCCTCTCCAGGCCAATGCTTTACAGGATTGCTAACTCTACCAAAATCTCATTCATGCCTGGGTCCACCTGCCGCTTACCTGCTTCAAGGATGGGCTTGCCCCCATCCAGGCCGTCCCTGTTTCAGCATCCCAGCAATACGCTTGACATGAACTGGGTTCTACAAGAGTTGGCAAGTTTTCTATGGGCTAGAATCTCCGGAGTCTGTGCAGGTGCACGCAAGTCTTTGGTACTCTGCTTGCCCTTTCAAGCAAAATTCATGTTTGACAGCTGACGTGCGGGGGCGCCTGAGCTCATCCATAGCTTCTAGACCACTCTATATACCTACATGCAGCTTCACTTCCTCTTCCTCCACCGCTCGATGTTTCTTGGGCTTGTTCGCACGGCCACCGCCAAACTCCTCCCAAACCTTGCCAGTGCTCCAGCTACTCGGCCAGCCACAACATGTCAGTTCAGACACATTATGGACATAGGCACCGATGGCAGCTGGTCAATGCGACAGCGAAGACCTGACTACTTTAGCTCTGACAGAAAGCGGTGCAGGTGACGCACGCACGCTTGCGCACTCGAGGGCTATCCAAAGAAAGAATGGCCCTCCCATCCTCTAGCAAATCCAGGCTGGAGCGCTTTTGGAGCAAGACGATGCCGCAGGGTGATGCACGATGGCCCTCCCTAATTCAGCAGAGCCTGAGCGACAACAAAACCTACAAATGCCACGCAAAAAAGATGCCACGCATTGGCCATCATATATGCTGTGTGCCAAATGTGCTAGTCCGGACCCCACAACAATGCCCGAAGAGTCCAAGAAAGCAGGGAGCCTGCAGATGATGCCGCGGCACAGTGACCAGTTTCTTGCCTGCGTTCCCATGTTTGTGGACAACTTCGGGTAGCCCCGAGATATTCAGAAAGTCTTAACATGTCCTCCACATTAGTACCGTAGTCTTGCCGGGTCTGGATAAGAAGCTCTTCATGCAGCTTCAGAAACATCAGAAAGATCAGATCCATCATTCAAAGCCTTCTGTCCTGAATTGAAGCCAGACCTTACGCCTGTAGTCTATGCCCCCTTCGTTCTTGTCTTTGGGGGTATTGATGTCTGCGCACACAACTCCCCAATATACTATAGTAATGTCCATTTTCTTTTCCATTATTCCCTATGTATACTATGGTAATTTTAACAACCTGCAATCCTCTTGGCCGGCTTGCGCCCCCGGGGGGGACGAAAGCTTAGAAGCAGGGTGCAAACTGGCGCGTGCATTTTTGCGTGAAGCCGCGGAACGCGAAAAGCCTCCGCGTGCCCAAGAACGGCTTCAATCCCAAGCAGCCTCAGCTGCCCGAAACATCATGCCTATTTTCAAGGCCCGTCAGGACACCCCCGAAAACCCTCCTGCCATGGGGTCCGGCCCGCGAAACACGGCCAAATTTGATCATTTTTGAAGGTTTCCCCTCCCTCACACCCCGTTAGTACAGATCAGCAAAGCTGGGCTCAGACGAGAGCTTTGGGAAAGCTTTCGTAATTGGGATCAATAAATATTTTTTTACCGTGCACGACTCCATTCCAATGTTAAAACTACTATAGTATATTGGGGTTATATGCGGAACAGTGGAAAAGAAAATGGAAACTACTGTAGTATGTTGGAGTTATATAGGGAATAATGGAAAAGAAAATGCAAACTTCCGAACTTTAGAGCTTATCACCCTGCCTTGCGCACACCATGCTGCTAACACGAAAAGCAGCGGCCGCGGGCAGCCCCGCGGTCGTACTGCCATCGCGCGCTAAATTACACGGAAGTCATCCAACTTGTTCAAGCCAGGCTTGAGCCAGACTACCCATAGGGTTTAGGGCGTTGAGGGCTCAGGGCTATGTAGAGAATATTTCGGGGGTATAGAGGGATGTATTTGGAGGGTCAGGGGGACCTAGCAAGTAGGTTAATAACCCCAATAATCCATATGGATCCATATGGTAACCCTGGTCATGCCCCCTTAGTAGCCTACTGGCTAAGCCCTGGACCCTCCAAGTAGGGATATGTTATGAGATGCCCAGAACGGTCATACAACGATTGCAGTTCTTCTATACACGATGTATTTCAGGGCACCCCAGAATACTATAGTACTTATTCTGAGGACCCCAAGAAAGAGGAACCGAGACTTCAAGTTGAAAACTCACACCCCGGGACATGCTATGACTGCTATGAAGTTGCCTACCTGCCGCTGCCTTCCCATTAGCAACGAGAAATGTGAGAGGCGATGCCCTCTCAAGAGTCCCAATGTGGTGCCAATATGTATGGGGGGAAGGTTGATGCGGGCATGGGATCGGCAAATATAACCTCGTTGTCCCTTCAACTGAAAGTCAGGAATTCCCGGCATCATCTGCTCGCATTATAGCTTGACAGGCTTAAGTTTTGGGGCTCAGGTTTCAGGCTCTACATCGACCCTTTTAAAATTCCCTCGCAGGGGCAATTGCTACTGTCCGCGGTGAAACTGGTCTAAGTCTGCGTTCAGTTCTTGACCATGTCAGCTCCGCCCTCGTCGGCTTTGTCATACATGTACCTGATCAAACGAACGATCTTGATTCCTCCCCACCCTGACTTTGCCAACCATCAAACCTCCGTGTTGCAACGAAGACCCAAACTTTGGTCAACAATTTCGCAATGGTAAGCAAGATGATGAAGATTGATGGTGGAAAACTCTGAATCCATGTCCCCACGCCACGGGCCTGCTGAAATGTTGACAATTCCAACGGGAGAGCTCGTAGTCCCTCTCTTTCACGTAGTCCCAATGAACTTGAACCTTGCTTGCCGCTAAACTCATATGCTGTGCATGTGACTTGCCTGGCTCCAGGCCTCAACTGGGGTCAGACGGGCGCACCATTTTCGTTCCAGGACATCTCCATTGGGACATGGGTCCTGGCCACTGGCAGCACAGAATGGAATAGTAAAGAAGATTGAACAGGAGAAAGCATGAGAAGTCAGCTGGATAAATCACAACGGTACCTTAAGGCAGGTGATTCTCTCAAACTGGTACCTCGTGGACCATGTATCATGAAAATGTTGCCAGAACCTCATGACATCATCCCTAAACCCTAAACTCTTAATTCACTTCCTCGTACCAATTCGATTCCACCTTCCCGCCTCTGGGCTGTCGTGGAAATGCAGACCATCTCGACCCCAGTCTAGCCTAACAGCTGATGGTTTATTCAGGTTTTCGGGCTCAGAGGGGTGGCCATCCAAACTGTTGAAGTGGCTATCGAAAAAAAAAAAAAAACATGCAGCAGGATATGACCTGCAAACATGAAAGCCTGTCGCTTTACCTTTCTGGAGCTGGGATCCCCCACTTCAGACTCATCAGGCGTCTGCCGTCCAAGTACTCGTACACAACCGTGTGGTGGTCGATGGTACCTCCCAGAAGAACAAGACTCCCCCCTGCTCCCCAAGTCAACTTCTCTCGAATGCGCCAATCCACTGAGCGGTGGGCCGCCAAGGAAGGGATCCCTCCAAATTGCCACGTGACGAAACCTCGGCATGCATCAGAGTGCAGAGTGCGGGGGGCAGCACTCAATTGCCAGCAAGTCTGCCCGCCTCAAGTTTCTCGAGGTCATGGATTCTAGATGCCTCAGCAAATGATAGCTCTTAATTGTTTCTGGGACATGCGCCATGATCCACACATGGCAGCGGAGGCCTAAAAAGCCATAGCCGAAACTCTGCAGGCGGGTTTCCCGCAGTAAGCGCTACCGTGCCTTTTCGGGAAGCCCCTGCCTGTAATGAGGCTCACAATAATTTTGAGGAAGGTCACAATTTTGCAACTCCGTGCCACAGATCCCATTACTGGAGCTTCAGATTAAGCATCACTTGAGCAAGGCTTTCGTGGTTGAACCAAATAAGATTACAATCTTTTTGAGAACAAATCTACACCCAGCAGGAAACTCAAAATCTTACCACCTTTTGGAGACGAAATTATACCTTCCCATGTGAATACTATTAGGCAGCAAAAACTAGATGCTAACTATAGTCTCTGCGTTTAAAGTACTTCTCACATTGTTCGCCCGTCCTGAGGCATGTGCATGGACAGCTTTCCGCGCATGTCTGGTCCAACACCCTCGAGAACTGACAGGGCGAGAGATGTGGGCATTTTGAAAGGGAACCAAAGGGGCTAGGGTTAAGGGTAAGCAAGGTGCGAGAAACCTTGCCTGACTCCAGAGCGGGAGTAGGGGAAGATAGTTCGGCCCCCATGGCCGGAGAGCCGGATGTTTGCGTGTTTATGTACAAGCGCAAGCCTGTCTTGGCGTTGGACAGTCAGTTGGACACTCTCTGTGGTCGTGGTTTCGGCTCGAACTGCTGCCGCTACTGACTGTCCTACTCTGCTTGGAAGACCCTCAACCCTAAACACTAATACTTATGCAAACCCTTAAAATCCCTTAAACCAAATTCATGGGAGTTCATGAACTGACAGCCAGATGGCCACTGCTGGATGCAATGACTGGACGCGATTCTGGGGCATGCCACGTCGCTCTCCCTCGTCACCTGATTCACCTGCACAAAACGAAAGCGTGGAAACACCATGGACTTTGAATTTGCAAGCCTGATTTGATACTGTGCACTCGCAGGTTGCATCTCCGTTCAGCTTGCGCTTGTGGGTGGCTTACCCGATGCCAGAAGCATGTCAGTTCTGGCAAGAAGTTGTCACTTTGGACTTACTCCAGACTCTCCCAGCTGCTGCGGTGTTCGCAGACAACCAGGAAAAAACATGTTGCACTGCGCCAAAATCATGTTGATACTGCACAGTCGCAACGCGGTATTCTTCGTACAAGGCTCACAATGTCAAGCTCTCACACCCAATACTTTGGCGCAATCTGCCCAGATGTCCTGTGTCCAGCGTGCCGGACCAAGATTGGAGTCAACTTGTGCTACCTTGCAGCCTGCTCTCGACTTGTAGTGGCCGAGCACAGGAACGGTCTCTGCATGATAGGCTGCAAGCCTTTTGGGAAGAGCATCCTTGTTGTCATCTGGACGCTGAGTCAATGCCTCCCCAGTTTCGTCGTCGCACATGTTTTCTGACGTGGGCTCACTCTTGCCATCATAGGACTTTGGAGGGTTGAACTTGGTGTGGTATGAGCGGCCAGAAGCTTTGTGAATCCAGCGGCCTCCGATTCTTTCAATCAAAGCTTCGTCTGGCACGCTTAGCTCCAAGACCGTCTTGACTTCCTCACCAGTGGCTGATAGCATCTCGTCCAAGGCCACTGCTTGTGCAACGGTGCGCGGGAAACCATCCAAGATGAAACCTCTGAGGCAGTCTGCAGCTTTCACACGCTCTCGAATGATGCCAATCACAATGTCATCGCTGACGAGGCACCTCAGAGACTTATTTACTAGTCAAGTGCGAAGGAAGCAGAGGTCCACATACCAA